ATAGTGAGGTTGGCTTATATGAGGTTATAGTGAGGTTGCTATAAGGAGGTTGTTATAGTGAGGTTGGCTTATATGGGGTAGGTTGTTATAGTGAGGTTGGCTTATATGAGGTTGTTATAGTGAGGTTGGCTTATAAGGGAGGTTGTTATAGTGAGGTTGGCTTATAAGGAGGTTGTTATAGTGAGGTTGGCTTATATGGGGAGGTTGTTATAGTGAGGTTGGCTTATAAGGAGGTTGTTATAGTGAGGTTATTATATGAGGTTGTTATAGTGAGTTGGCTTATAAGGAGGTTGTTATAGTGAGGTTGGCTTATAGGAGGTTGTTAAGTAAGGTTACTTATAAGGGAGGTTGTTATAGGAGGTTGGCTTATAAGGAGTTATAGTGAGGTTGGCTTATAAGGAGGTTGTTATAGTGAGGTTGCTTATATAGGAGGTTGTTGTTATAGTGAGGTTGGCTTATAAGGAGGTTGTTATAGTAAGGTTGGCTTATAGGAGTTGTTATAGTAAGGTTGGCTTATAAGGGAAGGTTTTATAGTAAGGTTGGCTTATAAGGGAGGTTGTTATAGTGAGGTTGGCTTAAGGAGGTTGTTATAGTGAGGTTGGCTTATAAGGAGGTTGTTATAGTGAGGTTGGCTTATAAGGGAGGTTGTTATAGTGAGGTTGTGTCTTTAAATGGACAATACATCCAGTGGAGGGAGGGGGAGGGGGGAGGGGAGGGGAAGGGGGAGGGGGAGGGGAGGGGAGGGGGAAGAGGGGAAGAGGGGAGGGGACCAGGGAGTAAATCCGACAATGATGAAGGGAGAGGAGAAAGAATTGGGGAGATGGAGACAGTGAGATGAGTAAAAAGAGAGAGAGAGAGGATTGATAATGAAAGAGAATATGAGAAGAGGGAGAGACGAGGAGAAAGAGGAAAAGGTGAGGAGGGAAGAGGCAAAGTGGAGAGAGGAAAAAAGAGGAAGAGGGGTACAGGAGGAGGAAGAGGAGAAAGAGGAGAAGGAGGAGGGGGAAAGAAAGAGGAGGAGGAAGAGGGAGGAGGAAGAGGAGGAGGAGGAGTGGACTATCATGGCCAGCCTTTAAGAACGGCCACATTGACAAACATGGCGGCCGGCAGATAAGGCTCTCTGACCCTCACACTCTCCCAATGTTTTCACAGCTCCACAACACACTCTTCTTCTTCTTCTTCTTCTTCTTCTTCTTCTTCTTCTTCTTCTTCTTCTTCTTCTTCTTCTTCTTCTTCTTCTTCTTCTTCCTCAAGGTCCCACAACACTCTGGTCATAATGTCGCGTCGGAATATTTGCCATTACTTATTATACGTCTCTCCGTGGAAAAAAAACCTCTATTTGTTAAGAAAACTTGCACTTAGGTGCTATCGTGTTTTCTCAGCCAAGTGATTAGTTCCGTTTGGTGTATTGGTGTTATACCTGTGGCACTTCCTAGTATATGTCTGTCTCTATGTGCGTGTGTGTGTGTGTGTGTGTGTGTGTCTGTGTGTGTGTGTGTGGGAGGACGTCACTCTCTATTTGTTTACCTGATGACGTCAACTCGGTGGCCTGGTGATGTCACTATGTCAGCCGGTTGCCAACTAGTATATTAAGAAGAGTAATTAAAAGTTAAGGTAGACTTGATCCAATGTTGTCTAACCAACTCTGTGAATACTGATGGAGGGAGAGTGAGGGAGTGAGGGAGACAGTGAGGGAGTGAGGGAGACAGTGAGGGAGAGTGTAGGCGGGTGAGGGAGGGTGTGAGAGAGTGAGGGAGAGTGAGGGAGGGTGAGAGAGTGAGAGGAGAGTGAGGGAGAGTGAGGGAGGGTGTGAGAGAGTGAGGGAGAGTGTAGGCGGGGTGAGGAGAGTGTAGGCGGGTGAGGGACAGTGTTGAGAAACGTACAGGAGAGTGTATATATGTATGTCTGTATATATGTGTGTGCGTTTTTGTGTGTATGTTTGTGTGTGCGTGTGTGCGTGTGTGTATGTATATCAGTATGCATGTGTATATATTAGTCTGTGTGCGTGTGTCTTTGTCAGTATGCATCCATGAGTACGTACATGTGTGTGTTTGTGTATATACCTGTATGCACTTACGTCTGTCTGTCTGTCTGTACGTACCTGTGTCTTCAAGAAAACTTCCTATAATTAAACAAGTTGGTCAAGTTGTTCAGGTAATCCCAGCTGATGGACAACAGGTGTTCCGGGGGATTAATTGTTCAGGTGAGGATTGTCCAGCTGTCGAATATTGTCCCAGCGGTCGAGTGAATTGTCCCAGCGGTCGAGTGAATTGTTCTACCTGTCCCTGAAACTAATACCTAATCTCTTCATAACCGAACCTTTACATGTAACTAATTCTGACTAAACAAACTTGTACAGCAGCAACAACAACAACAACAACACACACACACACACACACACACACACACACACACACACACACACACACACACACACACACACACACAGCCGTGAAGGAGTCTTGCCGTACAGTTTTCCACCCCATCAGCTCCACAGTTTCAACCTCTGACCATCAGATACCCGGGACCTGCCATTGTTTTTGTGGCCGTAGAGTTAGCTCTCTTTCTCACTGCTACCTACTGCTGCTCCTGTCTCTCTGTCTCTTTCTTTCTTTCTCACTCTTATTCACTGTTTGTATTTTTCTGTCTCTTTTCGGCTTTGTTTATGATAGTGACTCTCTCTCTCTCTCTCTCTCTCTCTCTCTCTCTCTCTCTCTCTCTCTCTCTCTCTCTCTCTCTCACTCATTTTCTTCATATTTACGTTAAAACAACACTTCTATCACACTAATACCTCCTAGGAATTACTGTACCTGCACTTTATACCTGAAAATTTATAATTGTACTTGTACCTGTAACTATACCTGTACCTGTAACTATACCTGTACCTGTAACTATACCTGTACCTGTAACTATACCTGTACCTGTACTAGTACCTGTAAACGATGCCTCATCTCAGGTAGCCAGGAAAATTTTGCTACATAGTGAGGGAAGGAATTTTAACGTAGGAACCTCACAGAATCGTATCTTGTTCCCGTAGTTTAAGTAAGACATTTTGATACCTTAACAGAACTCTAATTAGGAGAAACATTGAGAATCCATTTTTATCTAGAATACGATATCTTTGTAGCCTCACTTACGATGAAAATTACAAGTTACGAACTTTTGAAAATCAGAACTGCCTTGAGGTATGACCAAATGTACTCAGTCCTTGAAAATACCGTAAAAATAAAGAAGAATTTTGTGGTGTATGACCCTCTCCCCCTGTCTCTCTCCCCCTCCGTCACCCCTCTCCCCCTCCGTCACCCCTCTCCCCCTTACCGCTGGCCGCAGGATCAGATAAGCCCGACTGTCTTTTGTTCCTTCGGCTTAGCGATCACTGCCCGCGCCGTCACAGTTCACAGCTGATAGCACGGGAAATGGAACCGTTGATTTATTTGCTTATAACTTTGTCAGCCATGTCGACCCCGTCTTGTTCTTCACATGTTTATTGTTCTTGACCTTGTGTGTGTGAGTGTGGTGATGTGATGGTGTGGTAAGATAGTGTGGTGTGGTGGTGTGGTGGTGTGGTGGCGTCTTCTTTTTCTCATATTTATTGTTCTTGAGCTTATGTTTGTGAGTGCTGTGACGTCATGATGTGATGTGGTGATAATGGACGTGTGTGTGTGTGTGTGTGTGTGTGTGTGTGTGTGTGTGTGTGTTAGTGATGACAGTGGTTGTAGTAGTATGATGGTTATGATTGTGGTAGTAGTGGATTGATGGTAGTTACATCAGTATGCTGGTAATTGTTGTTGATAATGAAGTCTTTAAAACAGGTTACAACATCAACTTTCTCACCATTACCTACCATACAACATTAATCCCGTATATAAAACAACCAACCTTTAAACTCTGATGTGAAAATAAAGTCTCTGAAAAATTTAGTTGATGCTGTAGCAAATATTATGTCATGTAAATTAATTTCCACATCTAGGAGTAAAAATTAATGTCTCTTCATTATTTTTCGTTTTAATTTTCTCTCCATTATGTGTAAAATCTTTAAAAATTCCGTATTTTTTTTCTTCTATTCTATAATGTTATCTTTCTAATAATAATAATAATAATAATAATAATAATAATAATAATTATCTTACTTAATATATTTTTCTTAGTTCATTATTTCCACCATTTCTCAGCTCAGTGGCCATATAGGAAGGTGGGTCTGACCTGTACTGTCCAGTGTTAGTACAGGAGGAAACTGAGCACTTGGATAACACCCTTCTCATATCTGACCCACGCAGCCGGGGATTGAACCCAGGAGACATTATTGTAGAGGCACTGGTCCTACCACTGAGTTAAATTCTGTAATAGATGATTAGGAGTGTAGGTAAGTGTCATCGTGTGTTTTTTACTTAATATATACCGTTAAATATTTTATAACCTTGTGAATTTAACTGATAAATGGTGAAATGATATAAACACGAGAAAACGTGAATATTAGCGAAGTTATACCGCCATCGTGCTCTCTGGTGAAATATTAGAAAACGAAAATAAATCTATGGGTAACAACTTTGTTCATAATGGATAATATTTTTCGTTATTTCGGAGGTGATATTGAGAATATTTTCGACCAAAAATTCCTCGTAGGTCTATGTTATTATTGGTGATTATTTATAAAGATATCTGGTGTGAAGTTAGTGGCCAAAGCTCTATTAGGAGTGTGATGAGTTCCTGTTTAAGCAGACGTGTTTTTCTTTACAATAACACGGTCATATTTTTCAATTCTAGAACCATAAATAATTACTATATCTTAGAACAAGCAATAAGCATGGACTTAAGAATCAGTAGGAATTAAGTCTGATCAGTGTGAAGACTATGAATACTTTTCTCAAAAAAAAAAGACTGCATAAATTATCATCTGTATTATAAATAGTTTCTACGATAATATGTCATAGAGTGGGTGTGGAGGCTCCCCCTTGTGTCTGTATAAACGTCAAGTATAAGAGAAGTAAAACGAGAGAAACTTCATTAAATATGTTTATTTTAATCATTTTAAATGCTATCATTGTCAGTAAAACAGTGCGCGCGTCTACAAATAATTATATATAAAAATATCCTTAATAACACACCTCAGATGCACAGGTAATGGACGTAATAGTAAACTGGAGCAGACAATCAACAGAAAAACAAACAAAAAACAAGCAGACGGACATTTCTGCTCTTGCGTAAATAGTCTGCTCTTGTAAACACCCGATTCTGTTGATGTAAACAGTGAGACCCATTTTAACAGACCTCATATGACCAGGTGGAAGACAAAGAGACGAGAGCAGACAATGATGCAGACAAAACTTAACCATAAGACTGTCTGCCGTTATAGTAAACAAATGTCTTTCACATCACAACAGCTAATATTAAACAAACTCTGCTGATGATATAAACAGACTGTAGTAATAGTAGTAATAGTAATAATAATAGTAGTAGTAGTAGTAGTAGTAGTAGCAGCAGCTGTAAGTGAAAGCAAAACTAATCTAATGAGCGTTTTTATTTTGTGTTTGTTTACCCTGTTGTCACATCTGAGGTTCACAACACATCATCATCTTTAAGGGGTTCAAGTCAAGAGGTTAAACACTGGGCTGCCATACTGTTCTTTAAGAGGTTTTAAGTATGTATGTGGATAAATGATAATGTTTCTAGTGTGTCTTCAATCACCTAATATCAGTATCACCTTTCTTTTAAATCACAATGGTGTTCTGAAGTCATTTTAAAGGTTCACAATTCGTATAACACTTTAATTTTAGTCTTACAAACATTCATCACGTCTATATACACATTAAGCCTCTCATTACAGTTTAATGGACATAACTAACCCCCGTGACCTTTGACCCTATCAGCCTTGGTGCCACAGAGGTCAATTATCCCCTGTGACCCAAACGACAAGGAAATATTACAATAGTTTTACGAGATCACAAAACGAGGCATAATATCAATGAAAGTTTAGTAAAATAAGGGAAGACTTAAAACAAATTAATATCGGATTTGCTAAACATCATCATCATCCTCAACACGCACAAAAAATATTGCATAAAAAAGTACAAAAAGCCAATGATAATATTTACAGTCATTCTACAACCATACGTCACGAGTACATTAGACGTCATAAGTACATTAGACGTCATGAGTACATTAGACGTCATGAGTACATTAGCACATCATTATTACATTGGAGTACAAACAAAAATAATCAGTGAGCACTTGTGAGTAATGTGTACTGAAGGAGGAGGAAGAGGAGAATGAAGAAGAACAAGAAGAGAAGAGAAAAAAATATCGTAAATGCGAACGAAAATGCGAGAAAAAAAATAATAATATCCCTTAAGAGACAAACAGGAGAGTGAGAGCATCAGTACACATGGGGAGAATATCACAGACTAGTAAGGAAAAAATAAATGCACTATATCCAAGAATTAGTAATAGAGGTTAATGTTAAGAACTACCACCCAGCTACGATAACCACACCCCCTTCTCTTTCTCTCTCCACCTAGCCAATCATAAACCTCAGAGGATCTTAACACTCGTAAAACCTATAATATTATTGGTCCTCCTAGCTGGTGACATTAAAACCTATATCTTAAGTAATAATAATCATCCCAATATAATTTAAACACTATTTTTTGTCTCTATTTATTAACTGAGGCCTTTAAATACGTTCTGATGTCGCCAGTTTGGGGTTGATGACAAATTTCTGGGTCTTACGAGTCATTGTAAACCCTGAACGATAGCTTCCCTCTAGTGGCAGCTGATGGAACTACTGTCCCGGGTTATTCTAGGAACATAGTGACGTGACTTACATTCTTTCGTGAAATAATTACAAATACCACAGTTTTATTACTATCTTGATATAGTTCGAAAAGAAACCAGTTACACTATATCCGATAATACATTTATATATACAGTCACGTATGTGTATGTATGTATATGTATATAAATCACAAAGCCCCCAATTGCATAGGTTTAAAATTCTTTATCGAGCATCAAGTGTGTGTGTGTGTGTGTCCACCATCTTGTCTTGGTAGAGGTTTCTTCAGCCGTCGAGTAAATTTTCTTCTCTTTCTTTGTACCAACTCTTGCACAGGTGAGAGTGATGAGGGGGGACAGGTGAGGGCGGCAGGTGTGTGTGTGTGTGTGTCCTCGCCTCTGTTATACCACCACAGGTAACTTTCGCTTCGTTTTGGTTCTGAAAGAGATGAAAGTACTTTACTTTACAGAAAATGGAAAATGAATGATTTGGGGAAGAGATAGAGATAGAGAGAGCAACACACAGTAAACTATTCATCATAAACACAATGATATATATATATATTACAGATGAGTGTGACTTAGACAGTGTTGAGGTGTTGACACTTACATCACGACCCTGGACTGCGAGGTGATTTTCTTAACCACAGTAGAGGGACGACCTAGGTTGTCCTTGGTTCGCTCCACCACGACACGGTGACCTGTACGACCTTGCACCTCTCTCTTGGCGTCGAAGTCGTCGCCTGGCGGGCAGGAAAAACAAACACAATTACTCATTTTAACATATAGGTCCTTTTAGCTTGGAAGGAGAGTCTTACTTAGGTGTGGTCTTACAGGGGGGATGAGTCTTAAGGGTGATCTTACATAGGGGGAGAGTCTTCGGGGTTGTATTATATGGGGAGATGGGAGTCTTAATTAGGTGTGGTCTTATGTGTGGTTTGTGGTCTTACCTCCTATGACCTCGAGGGAGTTGGTGGTCTTGTTATTGACGCCCTCGGTGGTGTAGGTGGTCCTGCCGCCCTTGTCACACACAGACTGCGTCATGTACCTCTCACCGTCTGTCTTGGTCTTCATCCTACGGGAGACTCCATCCTCAACAGCCACCACCACCGCTCCCTCGTTCTCATCCTCCTCCTGCTTCTTCTGTACCTCTTGTCCTCCTCCTTCTCGTCCACTTCCTTCGCCTACCACGGCTCCATCCTTACTCGCTCCTGCAGAAGGGGGATACATGTTACTGATACATAATATGCTGTACAAGGACATGTTATAACAGTAATACATACAGGCAGCCTACTGTACATTTATCCGTTTTTTGTTTCCACTTAACGCCCACTACGCCCAATGCACCCACCTCCCACTACGCCTACATGGCCAACTCTACGGCAGTGATACATCTCCTACAACCACTCTCGTCGTCAGTACCTACCTGTAGAAGAGGTCTCCTTGGTCTCGGTGAGCAGCTCTCCTCCTCCAGATAGTCTCCGAGAGCCTCTCCTCACTACTCGCCTCACCACACTCTTACTGGTGCGCTGCCCTCCCTTCACCTCCTCCTCCGTCTCGTGGCTGAACTTTTGACCTTCCTAATAAAGTCGAGTAAATGTGTAATGAAGGTTAGGTTATGAGAGGAAAACAACAACACCAACACACGAATATGGAGGATAAGTTAACAATGGTATTTGGGATGGACATCTTGTTTAAAGTCAAGTATTCTGATTAGTTTCTTTTTCTACGTTAATATAAATAATTAGTCTAATATTCCTTAAACTTAAAGTAATTTTCGAAAATTTACTATTTACCTCAACACTGTAAAGCTCACATCTACTCTATCTGTATTGCGATAGATCGTTATACTAATTACCTTTTTCATTAGTTTGCCCTGAACGCTTGTGCCGGCTGCCCAGTCCTCCAGGTCCTTGGATGCGTTGGCTTTGAACGTTTTCTCCTTCCTTGTCTTGCCGCTGTTGGTGCGGACTATCTGCCGTGCCTGGTGAAGTGATAATAATGTAAAATACAGCAATGGCAGTGAAGGTTGTGTTATTGAAAGGAAAAATTATGTTGTTTGTTTTTCCCTTATTTATCTGTATCGTTTTATTCTTTCAATTTATTTATTTGTCTTTGTGTTTGTTAGTTTGCCATATCTATCAGCTTATATCCCTTTCTTTCCCTCTGTCTCATCTATGGTGGATGATCTTGTACAAGTATAGGAATTAAGACAAAGAAAACTAACATCAAGACTCACCTTCTCTGAGGACCCCAGTCTGGCCCTCCTGACAGTGGTCTTAGTCTTGGTCCAGCCCGCGTCGTTCTGTACGATCGTCTCGTCTTTATGGTCCGCCGGGTCATCCTCGGAATCCTTTCGCTCCTTCTTGATCCTCACGGAGCCTCCTTGATCCTCAGGGCGATACCTCTTCAAACTAGAATTCCGACGGACGACGCGGCTCCTAGACTTACTGGGGCTGGTTGAAGACGTCTTCGGGAGGCCTTTTGGACCGGACGGGCTCGGTGATGATTCCTTCGCTGCTCTTCGCCCTGGAGACTTTTCCTTGTTATTCTTGCATTGTCTTACTACTCTGACCTCTCGTGCTGGCGAGGACTCTTTGGACTGTGGTTCTAAACTGGACTCTCTCGTCTTGTCTCCTCCATCCTGTGTCGAGTTATTATCAAACACGTCATCACTGTCATAGGTGGTGGCGTGAGGTAACCTGCCACTCGAGGTGTCTTCTGAGGACGACCGTCTGATTGCCATGTCTGTGCGGTACCTGTGAGTTAGATCATTCATTTCCTCAGAGAAGGAAAGGTTTGGTTTGAACTGGAAGTTGGAAGGTTCTTCAGGTATGGGTGAGTCTTTGGTCCCATCGTCCTTGGACAAGATGGTGGAGAGGGAGACGGGGCCAGTGTCTCTGTCAGGGGTAGATCTCTCTGATGGCTCTCTCGATCTCAGTGATGATCTTTCTTTAGAAAACCTCGATGACAAGGGTTCGTATCCCTTTGAGGAGAGTCTTCTGCCTTCACCACCCACCGCAGAACTGTTCTCTGTCGCACCTTTGTACGGTGACTCAGGAACTCTCCCACGTAAAGAGAGTCTTTCGTGGGCATACCTGGATGTAAAAGAGTCCGGATTATCCCTAACCTCTGACTTCCTCACTATGGAGTTATTTTTGTCTGGGGAATATTTTTTGTTGTCGTGGTGGCCGGGGACAAGACACGACGACAGGTACGAGGTGTGAGGAACATTATCTTTGTGCAGCGAGGAAGTCTTACTGGTGGCGACCCTCTGAGGATCAACACCAGACGTCATGGCCTTCAGCGTCACGGAAGGTTTAGTAAAAGTGAAAGGTTTGTGTACCGACGGCTGCCACGAGCTCTTAATCTCCCTCTGTGGGCTCCTGTCTTCATCCTCCCTCCTTGTGCCTCTCCTTCTCTCTTCGCTTCTGTCTCTTAATCTGAAGGAGGATGTGAAGGAAGATGCCAAAGGAACATTCGAACTTTCCTTCTCTTCAATGTCTTTCTCACAGGGTTCCTTATTTCTCTTTGTACTGGGAGAAGGAGCGATGTTTTCCTTGTGTTCATCGCCAGGGACTGTCACCCTCCGTCCATCCCTCAAGGAGGACTCGAGTATCACATCAAGTTTTGACGTCAAATCGAGAGAATCTCTTTTGAGGACTCTCTCTGGCGTCGCTCTGGGAGAGGTCAGCGGCGTGGAAGTCATTGAGGACGACCTTGAGGAACAGTCACCCAAGATGGAGGAGAGACTAACTGGTCCTCGTCTACCATTACACACTTGTGACTGGTCAGACTGGAGGGCCTCCCTGACTGACGATCTTAAAGATGTCGGAGTTGAAGGGAAAGATGCGTTTGTCTTAGAGGCACAGGTGATGTCTACATGATCAGTGGAAGACATGGCGAGGAACGTTGACAGGTATTTAGGGGGCACCGCTGGCTTGATGGGGGTCACGGGTATTGAGCTGGAGGCGGAGGCTTTGGGCGAGGCGATGCTAGTAGATGGTGTTGTGTACTTTGTAGGTGTTGAGTGTTGAGGCTTAGCTGAGAGTTTAGAGGAAGGAGTCGACCTTCTAGCTGGAGGAACAGGTGTAAAATTTTGTAACATTTCATCAGGATCTTCTTCAGTTTGTAAGCTGTCTCGGTAAATGTTTCTATTGGAGCGTAGTTTTGATGGGCTTAAAGGGGGCGTGGCTGTCGCTGCTGATGGACTTGTTGGACTTGTTCTATCGAGGGAAGATATTTGTTCAGAGGATAAAGTATTGAGCATTTTGTTGAGCCATTCCTTCCTGTTTTTGGGGTCTTTGATGCTCGACCTTCCTTCACTCATGCGCTTCTCGAAACTGAAAGACGTTTGGCATTTATCCTTATCCTTCTCACGGTCGGCTGACTCTCTTCTCTTCACCTCCAGATAAGGTGAGGGATATGACTGAGTCTTTTCATGAAGGTTGATCGGTTTTGGGGGAACTGGAGGGGAGAATTTTTTTGAAGACTTGGATGAGTCATCTCTGTCTCTCGCTCGTAGTCTCGACTCAGAGGCTCTTGGCTCGGCTGAGTGACTTCCTCGAGGCTTTGACAGAGTATCCTTTTCTCTACTTCTCTCTGATCGGTCTGGTGACGAGGATGTGATCGGCGTCTTTCTCCTCCTCGACGACGGTGAACTGGACGATCTTAACTTCTGGCCAATGGCACTGGTCGTCGGTCTGTTGGTGGCGGAGTTCTTCCAGTTACTCTCAGTGAGGATCCTGTGAGAGGTGTGATCCTTCTTGTCTTCTGATGCACGAGTCTTTGAGGAATCCTTCCGTGTGGCAGAACTTGATCGGCGGGTTGGTGACTTGGATGAATCTCGGCGGCTCCTGCGTTGAGACTCTTCATAGGAACTTGTGTGTTTTGTAGGAGAGAGAAGCTTCTTCACGATGTAGGGAGACTTCATGGGCACCATCGGGATCTCCTTTATCGAGTCGTTCTTCAGATCTGAGTGTAGGTTCTCTGAGGACATCTTCCGGAACACAATGTCATCTTTACCATCCACTGTACCGTTTATGTCTGTTTTCTTGTCTTTACTGAACATGGACATGAAGCTGCCATGCATCTTGACCAGCTCCTTGATCTTGGTGGACACGGGCTTCATGGAGAGGTTCTTGTTGATGCGATTCTTCTCCTCATCCTCGAGTCTCTGTCGCTGTAAAGCTTCCCACTCTAGCAAACTGCTTCTTCTTCTCTCTTCTTCTCTCCTCTTAGATGATATTTTTCTTTGGTCTTCGTCGTTCACCACCTCCACCGTCACTTGGTGGACCTTGTGCTTATGGTGGCTTCCCTCGACAGCTTTGTCCTCGATCTTTCTCCTCTCGCCGCCGCTGGTGTGACTCTGACTCGTCGTCTTCATTCTGTAAGGTTTTATAGGAACTTCGCCGCTACTCTTGGCACATTGTTCACTCAACTTTTGACTATGAGGACCAATTTTATTTGACTTTGATTTGCTGAGGTGGGCATGAGAAGCCATGGGCGGGGTGTGAGAGGCCATGGGCGGGGTGATTACATGACCGTTCACACTAGTTCGGTCACTGTGAGAGTCATGTTTAAGCACATCCCTTGGGTTAGTAATAACAGTAAATGTCTTCATTCCCTCAGTTCTCCTAATGTTCTCAACCTCCTTCTGTGTCTTTAAATGCACTAATGAATCCTCCTCGAGCTCTGTGAAGAAGGTCTCGGGTCGGGTCTTTTGGTCGGCACTGAAAGTGAAACTAAACATTTTGGCTGGCAGCTTGGTGGTGGGTCCCTCAGTCCTAGGTAGCGAGGAGGCGTGGCTTCCCTCATGGTGGGTGAAGGAGACGTGGCTTCCCTCATGGTGGGTGAAGGAGGCGTGGCTTCCTCTGTGGTGGTTGAAGGAGGCGTGGGCGCCATGGTGTGAGCTGAAGGTGGTACGTCCATCATGGTGGTAGTAGGTGGAGGGGCCTGGGCAGTCATCGAAGTGGTCTGGGGTCTGGTGGCGGTAGCCAATTTGGGGGGTCGTGGAGGAGGTGTTATCCTCTTGAGTCGAGGAGGGATTGGAGGAGGCAGTGTGGAGGCTGGGGCGCTGCTCCTCCTCTGTAACACACAAACACACACACACACATACACATTATACACCAAGACAGTGGTTCTCTGAGTCAGTGACAGCATGCAACAATTCCCTTAAGGTGTGGAGATACATTTTTGGTTTATTTTGTAATCATCACTTGACAGCAACACCAGCGATACGTTATTTTTAAATATACTGCATAACTTTAATAGCTTGTGATAATTTACATAATAAATAGAACAAGTTACACAAGCAGAGACATCAAGATAAACTCACAGTCTAATTCACTTAGGAAATATTGTCTCTTCGCAGGTTGAGCATTTTGGCAATTAATCTCTTTCAATAAATAATTTAACTTTGATACAATAGTAAAGTTATTCTCTAAAATAATGGTAATATATATATATATATATATATATATATATATATATATATATATATATATATATATATATATATATATATATATATATATATATATATATATATTTAAAGTTATTATTTAAGTTGTAAATATAATATCAATGTGGGTTGTTTATTATTATTATTATAGTTTTCTTGTTCTTTGTTTTAGGTGCTTCAATAGGCAGGTTATTATTGGCACCGTTTGATCTCTTAACATAACTACAACAATATTAATGCGATATATATGTATTAGATCGTTAACAATAGCTACTAAAACACACCGCTATTAGCTAGTTAACGTTTTTATCTTAACTTAATGTAGTTATAATATTAATAATATTTTAAGATTCCTAAAATTACCATAAAGCAGCAAAGCCGTAAGTTGTGAAGGTTACTTACTGTATAGCTGCACTACTCACTGTACCACCACTAGACTGGGACCTTACCTAATACGGTGAATAACTGTAGCACCATTAGACTGGAATCTTACCTATGGTGGTGGGTGACTGTAGCACCAATAGACTGGCACCTTATTTATGGTGATGGTTGACTGTATGTAATAACCTCTGTCAACATAAAGACAGTAGTACTTATATAAATGTTCTGGTGACATTCCTATATCCTCCACACACTTCTGATCTGCCCAGGTCATCACCAGGTACCCTGCCCTCAGTGGACTTAACTCCTGTATCCGACACATGACAGACGTGTGAGATACAGTTAATTCAGTTAATTCTTCATTGATTACAACATAGTGTACATACTCTTTCATAAATAACTAAGAAAGCCATATAGTGTTTGTGAGAGCATTAAGTTCTCTGAAACAACTACAAACAGAGATTATAAGTAACTTCAGTTGAAACTACAGAGCAGTTACAAGAGTTTCTGAACTGATTGACTACTAATTATCTATATCCAGTTCATAAGACAACAGCTGGTGGGAAACCTGCATAAACTCAGAGCTTTACTGCTTGTGACTCAACACACACTCAGCAGTACTTCAATCAAAGTATCATTTTAATAGCTGACAGACTCACCAGCTAGCACACAAAGGTGACTAGCTGATGGGATTACCTGACATTCAACAGCTAGTTACATAGATGTTACCAGATGGCATACCAAATATCCATGCCTGGTACATGAGGTGGCAGCGGTGGATTTTACTGCCTGGTACATGAGGTGGCAACGGTGGGATATAATTGCCTGTAACTAGACTAGCACCTTACATATGGCATTGGACGACTGTTGCATCACTAGACTGGCACCTTACTTACTGTGGCAGGAGGCTGTAGCACCACTAGACTGGGTGGGACCTTACCTATGGTGGCGGGTGACTGTACGACAACTGGCGTGAGTTGGTAAGAGGCAAGATAAGCTGGGTGTATGGTGAGTGTGGACTGGTGTGGTGTTAGTAGATCCTGGTGAGTGTCGAGGCTCCCCAGTTGTTCACTGACTGTGGCCTCTTCTTCGCAGTATATCTCCAGTTTAGAGTTTTCCTGTTTCTCTTCCTTATGGTCTTCCTGATTTGCATCAATCATCTCTTGGTGGTTCTTTGTTGTGTTCTCTGATTCACTGCTTGATTCACCGAGTTTAGCTGAATCTTCGCCCTCGACTGACTCATCCGTCTTATTCAATGATTCATCAGTACTTACGAGGACAACTCTGTCCACAGCACCCGGAGCACAGTTGTCCTCGGGACCTAGGAGGGAGGAGGTCGTCTCGCTCCTGTGTTGGGGAACGTCAGAGAGGAGATGGGACTGTGGGAAGAGGTGGGGTTGAAGGTGGGGATGGGGTTGTGGGTGGAGGTTAGATTGAGAATTCAGGTCAAGTTGGAAGTTGAGGTTATGTGTGTCACTGGAGTCATGGAGTCTGGCACTGGAGGTGAGGATAAAGTCAGCCTCCATCTCATCAACATTGGAGGCACTCACAAGGGGGTCACCGTGGAGGGGGACGTTGATGTCGTCCTTGGGCTCTGTAGGTGATAATGTCATTCTCGATAAAAACCTTAATTTTTTTTTAGCAGGAGACGTACAGTGAATGAGTAGTCATCGTAACGCTACACATGCACTACGTACACACATAGAAACACACACACACACAAGGGAACTGTCTACACCAAGTACACATATAAGAGTTTCATTGGCACTCTTGTTCAACTATATTTTTCTAGTTTGGCTTTGTTTGAGTCTCATAGTGTTCAAAATGTATAGTGTCCGAGTTCCTCAATGTTCGGCTTACACATGCTTCTCTACACATCAATGATATGACTATTATCTTATTCTTTATATCTGTTCGTCTGTAACTCGGAGTTTCATGAGTTATTTTCTCGCGCCTTGACGCTGTGGTGACGTGTTTTGATCTCTTCATCACAGGTACAGTAAATATGTCTTGTCGTACCTGTGTGAGAGTCCCACCTCACACCCAAGGCTTTACTCACTCCTTTGACTCAACATATATACATTATTACTTGTTCTTCTCTACTTAATATAAAATGTTTCTAAAGGCACAATCATATCACAAATAAATTAAGTTAGTCCATGCATAGAGACTCTTTTTTTTTCTCATTGTGGAGAAATTTGGCAAGATACAAGCAAGCAGCAGGAGGTGTTGGTGTTGGACGACGATGAGGATGATCAAGAAGGTTGGTCTACTGCCTCTTGTTATTGTTTTGGTTAGCTGAGTGCTGCTGGTCACATCACCCTCCTCCCCACACACTACCTTGGCTCCGCTACCTCTTCTCTAGACCCACCCACACCAAACACTCCTGCTGCGGGGGGAGGGGGAGGGAGAGGGAGAGAGAGGAGGGATGTGTTGCTTAGGGGGATTACCTTGGCTCCTCTACCTCTGCTCTGTACCCTCCTACACCCGTGACTGGCAGATAATAGTACGGTTGGTTAGTGTTGCCTCTGATATATCTCATTTAGCACTGTTTATCATCACCAACCTTCCTCAAACCTGTGAAAATTTTATTCATTCACATAACATTTTATAGAGGCGTTGTGTGTGACTGTCATACATTCAGAACTGGCTACAGAGACTGGCTAAAACACCACCAACAGTTATAGTTTATCAAAGTGTCCAGGTACAGTCAAGTCTCACGGCACAGTCTATCAGTACTATCATTCACATGGTCACAGCCGGTGTTATGGGGGGGGGGGCGCAGGTAGAGAGAGGGAGGGGGGAAACATAGGGAAGGGGAGGGACTTTCAACACCTCCCCTTCATGTCTCTGGCAGAGGACCCCTTCCCTCCAAGCAACAAGCGAGGGAGGGAGGGAGGGGTGGGTGTGTTTCCCCTTGAAGCCAGACTAGTGCAGCACCAGCAGCAGTACCATCAGCATCAACAGCAGCAGAAGGACGGAGGGGGTGTGTGGGGGTACTAGTGAAGCCAGGCTGGACTGGGACGATGGTTAGTGAGTCGTGTTAGCAGGGTCGAGCGTACCAGAGCTGGAACACACAGGGGGTGACGGTGTGGTTAGTGACAACAAGCTGATGCAACTACTGTACTGTATTGTACACACACACACACTACACTCTGTCACTACACCTACACCCTACCACTACACCCTACCACTACACCCTACCACTATACTCTACCACTACACCTACACCGAACCACTACACCCTGCCACTACACTCTGTCACTACACCTACACCCTACCAATACACTCTACCACTACACCCTACCACTACACCCTACCACTATACTCTACCACTACACTCTACCACTACACCTCCACCGAACCACTACACCCTGCCACTACACTCTGTCACTACACCTACACCCTACCAATACACTCTACCACTACACCCTACCACTACACCCTACACACCTACCACTACACCACACCACTACACTCTGTCTACCACTACACCCTACCACTGCACCCTACCACCACACCTACACCATACCACTACACCTTCTACACCACACCACCACCACCACACCACACCATACCACCACACCTCTACTATACACTACCACCACACCTACACCATACCACCACACCCCTCTACTATACACTACCACCCACACCTACACCATACCACTACACCTTCTACTATACACTACCACCACACCTACACCATACCACTACACCTTCTACTATACACTACCACCACACCTACACCATACCACTACACCTTCTACTATACACTACCACCACACCTACACCATACCACTACACCTTCAACTATACACTACCACCACACCTACACCATACCACTACACCTTCTACTATACACTACCACCACACCTACACCATACCACTACACCTTCTACTATACACTACCACCACACCTACACCATACCACTACACCTTCAACTATACACTCACACTCTGTATATTATTATGTATATGTATATCCTTATTCTAACTACACATAATACATTCTAACACACATACAATATATACAGCAAGCATGATGAATGTTTTTAGTAACAGATGTTCAGAAATACACCATAATACACCATAATACATACACCATAATACACCATAATACAACTCTACATAAGGTCAGTAATGTTATATCTACTTAAAATGCCATACACGTTAAGTAAGTAAAGTTTGTAAGTAATGATATGGACCAAGGAGGAGAAGGCTTACTTAAATAATGTTCTTAAGTATATTATAAGTTTAGACAAGTGATATCACAAGTATGTATTAAATTAAATAGATGATAAGTATTTTTTTGTAATATATCTATGCAATATGAAACTACAGTCAACAGTAAACAGTCATTTGCACTGAGCTGTAATAAAGCTTCTCTTACATAAAAGACTAGTGAATAATGTTACTTGCTTTCAGTCTAATAATGTTACTTGCTTCCAGTCTAATAATGTTACCTGCTTCCAGTCTAATAATGTTACTTGCTTTCAGTCTAATAATGTTACTTGCTTCCAGTCTAATAATGTTACCTGCTTCCAGTCTAATAATGTTACTTGCTTCCAGTCTAATAATGTTATGCTTTCAGTCTAATAATGTTACTTGCTTCCAGTCTAATAATGTTACTTGCTTTCAGTCTAATAATGTTACTTGCTTGATGACATTCAGCACAAAAATTAAATAAACTGTTTTGATATTTAACAGTTGGATACGTTTTACAAATGCTTGGTAAGAGCCAGTTAGTTTCTCCCACTCATTTCCAGTTAGACAGTTACACCTATTTACATCCATTCAGTCATACCTACTCAACCATTTACACCCTAACAGTCAGTCAGTCAGTTACAGTCAGTCAGTCAGACACATCCAGTCTCACCCAGTCACTCCAGTTAAAGACACCCTCGACCTTTCCTTGTTCACTTGATGATGACCTTTGAACAGTTGGTCTTATATTTGTGAATATTTCAGACAGACAGACAGACAGACATACAGACAGTAAAATGGTCATACAAGTTTACATTTATTCAGCACGCATACTGTAGACAGACACTGCAGGTATACAAAGACACACACACACACACACACACACACACACACTGTACCTGCCTCACCACTTGCTCACAGCGACACACGAGCACTACAGTGTTATCTGACGGGGGGATGAGAGGGTCTTACCTGTAGTAGCCAAGCCTCGCCCGGTCCTGCAGGTGCCCCAGGCTGGTGAAGGAGGCTCCTGCACCCTCTGTAGCAGCTCCCTCACACTCTTACTGCCTACTGTCACCACCTTCCTGCTGGTGCACGTGATGGTGGACGACACTGTGGGTTTAGGAAGAAGGTCTCGTCTACTGTCGTGGTCGCTGCTTGTGTCTCGTTTAGTGACTCGTCTATCCTCGTCTCTTCTCGGGATGTCTGTCGTCCTTAACTTCCTTATTGTCGTTTTGTTGTTCTCGTAGCGGTGATCGTCGTCGTCTTTCACCTCGCTGACGGCTCTGTCTGTCTCGCAGTGGCTTAAGACGCCCCCAGAGTCCGAGAGGGACTCCTGACTGGAGGCGGAGGAGGACCCGTGACTGTCGCCGCCTGTAGTAGAGATCCTACGGGGCTCGAGACGGATCTCCCGACTGCTGGTAAATGTATTGAGGGATGAGAAGTCTCCACTGTGTCTCTCTGTGTTGAGGCAGACAGCTTGTGGCCGTCTGTGTAGCGAGTGTTCTGAGTGGAAGCGAAGCGGTTCGTTAGTGACTGCTGGTTCGCGCTTGTTAGATGACACATGCCGAAGTTTGACATTAAAGAAGCTGCCATTAGTTGCAGTAGTTGTAGCTGTGGTGGTGGTGATGGTTGTTGGGTTGTGTTGGTGTTGTTGTGGTGGTTGTGGTTGTGGTTTAGCTTTATGGAGAGTATCTGAGTGTGGCTTGTGGTGTTCCCTGCTTAACCTGTGTACGATATTTCTGGTGTGACCCATGTTGTCCAAGCCTGCATCAGCTCCCTTACCTACGGAGTCCCAGTCAAAGGACGCGCTCTTCCGGTGTTCTACCTTTTGAAGCACCTCGCCTCGCTCTTCTCTCTTCAGCTCGTGTAGGACGTTCTCAACTGACCGCCTCTTCAGGATGCTCTTGGGCTTCGGGCGGTGATCTTCCAGGATTACTACTTCAGGAACGACCTCTGTCCTCTTTAAGCTCTCCTCGAGGAACCTCATCAGCTCAGAAGCATCCTCGTTACCTGTAGGGATCGGGAAGTCGTACTCCTCGACGTTCTGGTTGAGCTGCTCCGCTGTCATCTTGGTCGGGTCTGGTCCAGCCACCGACTCGAACTTGGAGCTACTTTGTGGGCCTTTGGGCTCGGAGGCGGGGAAGAGGTTGAGCGGAGTGTCACCAAAGCGCATCACGGGACGGCTACCATTCGTCGCACTTGAGTTACTTTGAGCTTTCTGAGTCGACGATGACGGGACGTGGTCACCAAACCTCATTGCTTTCGTTCTCTCCGGAGGTTCAGGCAGCGTCTCTTTCACCTGGATCTCACCAAATCGCATTTCTTTCTGCTTCCCGTTGCTAGTTTTTGTTGCTTTAGTCTGAGCGCCGCCCCAGTCGTGCTTGAGGTCACCGAAGCGGACCTCATCCTTCTGGGGCTTCCGAGTACGTAATCTTCTGCTTGAATCACCATCGGAAGCCTCAGTTGCAGATGGCTCGAAGGACACCCGCGGCCTCTCAGCAGAAGGTTCTCGAGAACGTTCCGTGTTGTGTTCCAACATCCTGCTGCTGTCTTTGTGTAACCCTAATTCTTCGTTCACCCTGGCAGAAGCTTCCTCGGCCAGTTCTTCACCAATCCGCGAAGTTTCCTCCTTCAGATCATCGAGAGCGTCCAGACCACCTCTACTCCAAGCAGATGATGATTCAGTGACGCAGGAACTTGCGCAGCTAAAATCGGTGGTACTTGTGAGTGTCACATTGAGTGACTCGAGCTTCTTGCGAGCTCTGGCGACCCACTCTGGCTCCTTACTGGCAGTCGAGGCTCTATCGGACAGCTGATCCACCTGCTTAGCTGCCCGAAGACTCCGTCGCTCCTTTGCCAGTCGGATCCAGTTAGGTTTATCTTCTTCCTCCAGTGTGATTTGTCCGGTCGACGAACTTAATCTGTTCCTCCGAGGAGGCGGGACTGGGGGATTGTTGGGGGAAAATTCCTCACGTACGGGAGATAAGTTGTCCCGCTTGGCTGTGTCTGGGTCAAGTGTTGACAGAACTGGAGGACACGAGCTGGTACTCTCGAGGCTGTCAAGGGGAGGACTTATCACCGAGGAGAGGAGGTGTGTCCTGTGCTCCGTCTGGCGAAGATTGTAGTCCTGCCAAGACGGCTTAGAAGACCCGAGCTCTAAGATACTCGACTGAAACGATGACTGTCGACTGCCAACGTCAGAGGAATTCTGAACTGAGTCTACTGACTTACTGACTTTGCGACTCTTTCTCTCGTTCACTTCCTCTCGGGCAGTCTTGAGCGAGTCCCACGACTGTGTCCACTGCCAAGGCTGAGGCCGCACGAAGCCGTAGGTCTTGCGAGGTTCCTGCTGGTTGTCGCTGGGTTGTGCAGTGTCCCTGGAGGTCAACTGTGTGTCCTCCCTGGAGGTCGGGGACACGTCACCGCTCTCTGTCAGGTTAGAAACACCGAACAGGTAACTTCTCACTTCTTCTTTCTCCTTCTCGAGCGTCGGGCTAGACTGAACCTTGAACAGAGGAGACTCGCTTCTGAAGTCTTCTTGATCTTGGTCCAGTGAGCTCATAGACTTAGACCGGACTGAATTTTGACTGAGATGGACTGAGGATCCATGAGACGTGGACGAGTCCTTACGCTCTCGTCCCTCAGAGAGACTTCTCAGCTGTTCTCTGATCTTTTCTCTCAGAGCTCTTCTCTCACGTCTCTCTTGCTGTATCTGTCGTTTCTCTATAGTTCTCCTGACGTTGAAGGCGCTGGCTCTAGAAGGTCTGTTTTCTGAGTCACTCTGACGAACGTACATACGCGAGGTGCTGTCCTTCCTGTTGGGTTCTGTCTGACTCACGATGGAAACATTTATTCCTCCTTCAAAATCTTGATCGATTTCAATGGGAATTAACCTCGGGGGCGCTTGATCCTTGCCCCTGAGAGATCTCCTCGTCTGTAAGTCTCTGACCCACAGCGGTGTTGTCGGCTCCTCGGGCGTGAGGCTGGAAGCAGACTTGCTCTTCTTCTCGTTGATGGTGATCACAGTCCGTCGATTCACCAGGCCTGAGTCAGCGATGCTCTCCCGGTCACTGATAACGACATCTGCCTCCGACGACGACCGATTCTCCTCTAAGTTCTTGTCGAGGAGGAGACTGGCTGAGTCAAACACAGACTCCCTCTCCTCACTCCACCTCCTGAGGCTCTCCCTCCTCTCGTCCTCTTGTGCTGACCCGCAGGAAAACGAGTAGTCACTTGGTGTCCTGGAGTCACTTATATCACTCGAGGATCTCCTCTTAGCGGCCAAGCGAGCGACCTCCTCCTTGATCCTCCTGAAGGATTCCTCAGACTCGCTCGAGAAGTTGTTCAGCAGAGGGTTGGATCCTCCGACAGAAGCATCAGATCTCCTATAGCGATTCTCAAAGAGTTTTCTCCGTATCTCCTGCCGGGCGTCAAGACCTCTCGGCTTGTTACTCTCCTCTTGTTTCCGTTCTGGTTTGTGTTTAGCTTCAAGCGCGTCGTTCAGCTCCTCCCTGAAGCTGAGGCTGTGATTCTTAAAGTCTCGTGTGTCTCTACAAGGGAAATGTCTCTGTTTTTTATGCTCCTTGGTGTCTTCTGCTTGTGTATGATTGATATCTGTCTCTTCTCTGTGATCCTTGACGTCTCTTATTTGTTTACAAGCAAACTGTCTCTCGTCTCTGTGCTCCTTAAAGCTCCCTGTTTGTTTACCGGCGACCTGCCTCTCTTTCTGTTTACGATCCTTGGCTTTACCCTCGAACTGTACCTCGATATTAACTACCCTCGGGATGACCAGGTCGGTGTCGAGGTCTTGCTGGTCGAGGAGCAGCTGGAGACTGTCGGCGGAGGACCGTCTAGAACTGCGGGACGGTGGTCGGCGGTGACTGAGGGCGCCGCTCCGACCCACGTACGCCTTCCCCTTCTGTGGCGAGTGATCCAACCGCGTCAGAGCCACCTGCAGGAGAGGACCCGGGTGAGATACACGTCAGGGAATATTACAAGATCTTTACAAACATTCATGATGGTGAGATGGAAATATTAACAATAACTAAATATATAGAAATAAACACAAGAAGTAAACATAACACGATAAACAATAAGTAAACATAGAAATAAACAAAGTAAAGATAAAATAAACATTGAGTAAAGATATAAATAAACACAAGAAATAAAGTTAGAGAAGTGGTAGATCCGATTATCTCATAAATCAAGGTAGAGCTTCACACACACACACACACACACACACACACACACACAAGGTCACAAGAGAAATAGTTCTTCACAGACACATTAACACCTCGACAAAGTGACTCTCTCACAGTTAAACACATGGGGAGTGAACTAACGTGGTAAATGCACTTTTTTGTTGGTGCACATTGTATTGTCTGTTTACATGCTGAACTGTATACCTGCATTGTGTGTACATGCTTAACTGTATATCTGTATTGTCTGATTTCTTTATATATATGATGAACGGTATATTAATGAGAGGCAGGAGTGAGAGACAGTGATACGGTAATAGCCAAGGGTGAGTGAGAGAGAGAGAGAGATAATGAGTGTCTGTGTGACCCACCGTCCTCTATACCTAGCCGGATCCATCGCCCACGAACGCTGTGAACCCGTTCATGTAGGCGTCTCACACCACTGACGTCATGTGTATAAACAAAGTCAACATCTCTCCTCTCAATTCAGACTTAGAGAGCTTCGTAGACCACGTAAAGCACAGGTAAAGTCACAACACAATTACGACTACCACTGTGGCCTTCATAATGTGTGTCATGGCTTCAGTAAACCTCTAAACTGAGTCTCTTACACATCACTTTCGGGAGGATTTATTTGACTTATGAACCTTTGTGTCGTAGTCTATAAGGCAACAAAGTTAAGACGTTCTGAGAAGTGATCTGTTTGGTGGAGTTTTTGTGAGAAAGTTTCATACGTTCTCACATCACCAGATTATCTCTCTCTCTCTCTCTCTCTCTCCTTTGTTCCTTTCCTCTCCCCCTCACCCTATCCTACCCTTCCATCACCCCATGTTCCGGTTATACGCATAATTGACAAGTATACTACACAGAAGCTTCCGGTTATACGGTATTATACGGACCAATTTCACGAGTATATCAACGCGTGTTTCGGTCACGCTGGTATATCCCATAGGTATATCATCAGCTGTTTCAGTCATACATGTATATGAAGGTATATCTCTAGTATATCAACAGGTATGCGATTATATATAATGGTATATCGCGATTATATGACCAAGCATATTTTATACAAGTATATGAACCTATATCACGAGTGTATTAACTTATAAAGGCGTATAAACCCATTTGTTACCACTATATCACCTGTGGTTCCAATTACACAGGTATATGACACCTATATCACCACTATATCGTTGGCTATATATCACCATGCATGAGTCTCTCTCTATTGTTATATATTGAAAAGGAGAGCTCAACCAGAAGTGCGTTTCCGGTCCATTATGAGGTAAGTCAGGTGTAGTGAGGTGAGGTAATCTAACCTAACCTAACCTGCGTGTCATTTAAGAAGAATTTTAGGTCATTTGGGTGTTCACGACTTTCGTCCGGCCGGCTGTGGAAGTCAGCCGGTTATATCACGGGTAAGATGTGGCATCCGGCTCCCCTCTGTGTGTGTGTGTGTGTGTGTGTGTGTGTGTGGCTCGACCCGGAACCTAAGGTCAGAAAGGTTAATAAGCGTCTTCGGTACTAAAGGACACACGGGGTTAACAATCCATTGGGGTCACGTGGGGTCAACAGGAGTCTGGGATCATCAGTATGGGGTCACCTTGGAGTCAACTTGGGGTCAACTGGGGTCAACTTGGGGTCACCTGAGGACAACTGGGGGTCACCTTGGGAACAACTGGAGTTAACTGGGGTCAACTTGGGGTCAACTGGGGTCACCTGATATTAAGGGATTTGTATCTCTCTACACCTCCATCTTCTCAAACCCTTCCCTCCCCCACACCTGTCCCTATCCCACACCTGTCCCTATCCCACACCTGTCCCTATCCCACACCTGTACCTCCCCCACACCTGTCCCCCCACACCTGTCCCTATCCCACACCTGTCCCCTATGTCCCTATCCCACACCTGTCCCTATCCCACACCTGTCCCTATCCCACACCTGTCCCTATCCCACACCTGTCCCTATCCCATACCTGTCCCTATCCCATACCTGTCCCTATCCCACACCTGTCCCTATCCCACACCTGTCCCTATCCCACACCTGTACCTCCTTACCCATATCTTTCCCTCCCAACACTTGTTGCTCCTCCCCACAATCACTCCACCACCCCACACCTTCTAAACCATCCTACACCTACTACACCTCCCCACACCTGCTGTACCTCCCCACACCTGCCCGGGGCAACACCTGGGGCGCCTCGACAACATCACCACCACTTCCGCCACTAACTCCTTTGTTGATAGACACATGAGGAGGAGGAGGAGGAGAGATGAGGAAGAGTAGGAGGAGGCGGAGGCGGAGGAGGGGGGAGGAGGGGGAGAGAGGAGGTGGGGTGGAGACAGATGACATGAAGAGAGAGAGAGAGAGACAGAGAGACAGAGAGAGAGAGAGAGAGAGAGGAGAGAGGCTAGGTGTACGTGGTCAGTGTATAAGAAGGAAGAGAAGAAAGAGGAAGATTGGGAAAGCTGAGAGGAAGGGAGGGAAGAGGAGGAGGAAAGACGGAGGGAGAAGCGGAGGTCATGTGGGTGAGACGGAGGGAGGGAGAGGCATGAGAAGTAGGAAATGTGGAAGAGAGGAAGGTCGAGGGAGGAGTGGGAGAGGTGAGAGAGGGGGTGACGACCGACTGAGAGAGAGAGAGAGAGAGGTGATAACAGCGTATATTGAGGTTGTTGTTCCTTTGTTGCAAGTTGGGGGGGAGGGGGGGAAGGAGGAGGAGGGCAGGAAAAGAGGGAAGGGAAGGGAAGAAAGGAAGGGAGGGGGGCAAGAGGGGGGAGAGAGAAGGGGAGGGATGGGTGTTTCAGGGATCCTGGCTAACTAACACGTGATCAAGATGGTGTAATTGAGAGAGAGAGAGAGAGAGAGAGAGAGAGAGAGAGAGAATCACTGACCTCATGTTGCTAGCTTTACGATACATTCAACACGGCCTTATGCAATATGTAACTCTGCACAGTACATGGCGGTGTTTTGTTAAATATATCCACGAGAATATTTGTATCAAGACAAGAAAAGTGATAATTGTAAATCAAAATAATACTACAATACTACTACTACTACTACTACTACTACTACTAATAATAATAATAATAATAATAATAATAACACTAATAATAACAATAACAGCCATTACAAGACACTCAGTTCAGAAGGTCGTATGTAAGTTGGTCAGGAGACAGAGAACAGTTAGAGTAAGGAAACGTGTTGTTGCTCTCTCTCTCTCTCTCTCTCTCTCTCTCTCTCTCTCTCTCTCTCTCTCTGAATTAAACCTCGACGATATCTCAAAAATTATCGTTCAAGAATATTAATAAATTTCTGGTAAGATTATATACGACCCAGCTTTCCTTACCTGAGCTTCCACACATCTCGTTATGTGTGTGTGTGTGTGTGTGTGTGTGTGTGTGTGTGTGTGTGTGTGTGTGTGGTTTGTTTAGTTAGGCGTTGTTGTTTTGGTTCGAGGTGCTGGAAAAATAATGGAATGGTGATTGGTTATAAATACAAGGTCTGTTTGGCTAGAGAGAGAGAGAGAGAGAGAGAGAGAGAGAGAGAGAGAGAGAGAGAGAGAGAGAGAGAGAGAGAGCGCTCTCACCCCCTCACAACCTCTCCTGTATTCCCTCCTCTCTTAGTCCTGTCGTTATATATCCTGTATTTATCATATTTCATCATCTCCTCCTCTCTCTTTCTTCCTTCGTCCCTCCTTCTTATCCAGCAACCACCAGCAGCCCTCCCTCCCTCCCTCTCAACCAGCATCTGTCCTTCCTTCTCCCTCCCTCCGTCCCAAACTCCCTCCTTCCCTCCCTCCCTCCCACCAGCAGCTGTCCTTCCTTCTCACCCTCCCTCCGTCCCAAACTCCCTCCTTCCCTCCCTCCCTCCCTCTCGCCCACCAACAGCTGTCCTTCCGTCCCTCCTTCCCTCCCTCCCCGCCCACTTTCCCTCCCCTGTCAGACACCCTCCCAGAGACCGTCCGCCCATCCCATCTAGCGGAAAGGAATGAGTGTTGGGCGAGGTGACTTGGGAGGAAGGGTGAGACAAGGTAACGATCACCTCTCTCTCTCTCTCTCTCTCTCTCTCTCTTGTGTGTCTCTGTCTGTCTCCACTTTCTCTCTATATTTTCCTTTCTTTTTGTCTTTTCTCTTTCTTCCCTTTACCCCTTCAGAATGAGAGAGAGAGAGAGAAGGTAAAGAAAGAGAGAGAAAGAGAACGAGAAACAAGAAAATAGAGAAACAGTTGTCCATACCTATCTCTCCCTGTTCTTTCTTTACTTCTCTCTCTCCTTGAGTGAGTGAGAGAGAAAGAGAAAAAGAAAGAGTTAACGAGGAAAATGATTGAGAAAGAGAGAACGAGAAAGAAGAATTCTAAAGAGAATGAATCCTCCTATTTCTCTCTCTCTCTCTTTCTCTGCTTCGCTCTCTCTCTTTCTCTGTCTCTCTCTCACCTTCCCTCAGTGAGAGAGAGCGTGAGGGCAGACCAAGGACGTCTCAAGGTGCTCCTCACTTCCTCCTATTATCTTTTTGCACCTCGTCTCCCTCCCTTTCTTTCTCTCCCTCCCTCTCACCCCACCCTCCTTCACACCCTACCCCCTCTTCCTCTCACCCACCCACCCCTCTCCCTTCCCTCTCTTTTTACCTCGCCCCTCTCCGTCGACCTCTCATTATCCCAGCGACCTTCCCGTGTGTATGTTAGTCATTACAGAGGGAAGGGAGGGATATATGCTACACGTGTCACTGATGATCGATTTCATGGACAGAGATACAGACAGACGTGGTAGTTAGGCAGGTGTGGGGTAGTCTCACACACACACACTAACTGTTCCTGACCACGAAGCCATCAAAACACTTGTTCAAACCATCATAACGGTGAAATTACCTTCTACTCCTTCTTGTTCTTTATTGTTATTGATAATGGTAATAGAAGTAGTAAGAGAAATAACTAACACACACACACACACACACACACACACACACACACACACACACACACACACACACCTGTAGAGCATCAAGGTCCAACACTGGCAGGGGGTCGTGGAGGCTGACTGGTGGACGACTTGTCACAGACGACCACGACGACTCTCTTCGGCCCTGGGGGAGAAGAAGACAGGTCATTACAGGTCACATATAGGTAATCCAGGTCACTACAGGTCACAAATGGAAAAGAAAGGTCATTGGTCACGAAATATTAAACGTTGTGAACCTAATAAGAAACTAATTTTCTTTTTACTCTCATTTTCTTTAGAGAGAGAGAGAGAGAGAGAGAGAGAGAGAGAGAGAGAGAGAGAGAGAGAGAGGCGTGGTATTAGAGGGTTGAGTCATCATAGCGGTTTTGAAGATGCGAAAAACAGCGAAGGCACAAGAAGCGCCCTGGGGAAACACCTCTGTCACACCTGGTCTCTCTCTCTCTCTCTCTCTCTCTCTCGCTGGCTGAACACTGTCACCAGATCAGAGTGTCGACCACATCTCCAGAGGTTATATTATCAGACAGAGTTGGAGTTGGTTGTCTGAGTTGGTTATACTGATGGGGAGTTTATTCTGTGTATTACTGAATATGTATGAATGTATAAAATATATGTATTTACATGGTAGGTGGCCATTAGTGGGTTGTGGATGGCCATTGGTGGGTGATAGGTGGCCAGTGTAAGATGGCCAATGGTGGATGGTAGGTGGCTAGTGGTAGATGGCCAGAGGAGGGTGGCCAAGCTTTCACAGGTAGGAGGCAGTGGAAGCGGGCGACCTTTGTGAATTTACCTTGGCCGCCCCCGTCTCTCTCTCTCTCTCTCTACGTGTAAGACATCTGGTTGGCCCACGAGAGTCTCTGGTCAAAGTAACAGCCATCTTTAACCTGGTAGTATATAGAGAAGAAAATGGAGGATGGGTCGTTGTACCATAGCCTAAAGTGAGAGAGAGAGAGAGAGAGAGAGAGAGAGAGAGAGATCGTGTGTAAGAGGTGGCGTGAGATAGAGATAGAGAGGTAGATAGAGATATAAAGAGAGAGAGAGAGAGAGAGAGAGAGAGAGAGAGAGAGAGAGAGATAGATTAACGTTAGGTACCTGTGAGAATCCAAGCCCTGACCTGGTTTACTCAAGCATAACAGAACTTGGCAACTCAGGGTCAACCTCACCACCCACACACCTCACCATCAACTCTAACTAACCTAACTAATCCCTAAGTAGTTTGTTGTTAGTGTCAAGTAGTTAGTAAGGTTATAGAAAGGTTAGATACAGGTTAATATAGAGGTTTATGAAGGCATATTATACTGAGGTAACTAACTGGTTGGCCATGGTCAAGCCTGGTGTTGCCATATGGTGGTCTTCAAAATAACGCTGTGAGTGGGTGTTGCCTCCGCTGGTGCCCGGATAAAATCCTTACTAGACTATGTTATACCGGACAAAATTAGCACTGGACTATGTTATACCGGACAAAATTAGCACTGGACTATATTATACCGGACAAAATCCTTACTGGACTATGTTATACCGGACAAAATCCTTACTGGACTATGTTATACCGGACAAAATTAGCACTGGACTATATTATACCGGACAAAATCCTTACTGGACTATATTATACCGGACAAACCTGACGAAAATAAATATTATAACGAGACGACAAAAAAGTTTCATAAACAAAATCAAAACAAAACAAAAATAACCATTACAAAAACAGTTAGAATAACATATTAAACAATAACTCAAATAAAAGAAAAATAATACAAGAAAATCGACGAAATAAGGAAAAGACGATAAAAACAGAGAATGAAAACTTGATGATGGAGACGCAACAAAAAAAAGAAATGATTTATGAATGAATATAAACGATTCTGGGAAATGGTGAAGGAAAGAAGAGAGAATGGAGATACGAATAAGGTGGATAGAGAAGAATAAAAGATGATGGATGAACAGGGTGGAAAGATATTGTGATAAATGATAGATGAAGGAGAGTGAAGAAGGTATACGAGGGATAGATTGATGATAACTACATACATACATACATACATACATACATACATACATACATACCTACATACCTACGTACATACATACATACACCAGCACTAAGGAACGGATCACTGTGTGTGTACAATACAAGTAATAATAACAACCTCTCAGTCACGCCAGTCACGGAACCAACATGTACTTAATGCGTCGCTACATGGTTGGTGAGGCGTGTGGACGTGTTGTATGTACGCTACACTTATCTCCTGTGTGTGTGTCTAGTGTGTGTGTCTGTCTGTGTATGTGAGTTTATGTTTCGCGTCAGTATAGAGTTATGTGTGTCTGTCTGTCTGTCTGTATCGCGTGTGTGTGTATGTGTGTGTGTGTCGTGTCTGTGTAAAGTTTTGTCTGTGTGTACTGTGTATGTGTGTGTGTCTGTCTGTGTGGTGTGTATGTGTGTGTGTCTGTCTGTGTGGTGTGTGTATCAGTCATTATTTCCACCAGAGACTAACAGACCTACTGTACGTGTCTGGTCACAGTTCACTATTACAGATCGAAATATTTTACGAATTTACAAACTGCAAATGAAACATTATGATTTACACATGAAAAATGATGAATTCATTTACAAACTACAAAGATTAAATCACTTATATATTTCACGACATTATTTACAATTTACAAAGACAAAATATTTTACAACTTAGAAATACAAAATAATTTACAACTTACAAAGACAAAGTAACTTACAACTTACAAAAAACTCATTTACAATTTACAAAAACAAAAACATCTACAAACACCAAAGACAAAAAAAAACGTAAGAGAAAACTAAATAATTGTCACACCTGAGGTTAAAAAAGTTAAGGCAACACCTGTTTAATTACCCAGGACAGAACGATAACGTAACACAATGTTTCGTTCACCTGTATTGTGTTGCATTATTTTCCACATGTTAGTAAAATGATTTTAAATAATGTCATCTTTATTTTATGTTTTTATTGACTCTCCCGTGTGTGTGTGTGTGTGTGTGTGTGTGTGTGTGTGTGTGTGTGACGAATAGATGTAAATAGACGTGCAATTAGATAGATAGATAGATAGATAGATAGCATGAACAATATGATATTGACATTCATAGCACCATATGTATCACCCCCACCCCTCCACCCCCCTCCTCCACTCACCCCCACCCCCCTCCTCACCCCTCTCCACCCCTCCTCACCCCTCCTCATGAGTAAGGGGGAGGAGAACCCATGTACCATGACTCACCCCGACGTGAGGGAATGTTGCCTACTGCAGGAGAGGGGGGGGAGGGGAGGTGAGGGTGAGGGTGAGGGGGGTGGAGGGGAGGTGAGGGTGAGCTGAGGTGAGGGTGAGGGGAGGTAAGGAGGGAGTGTGGGGAGTAGTGAGGTATGAGGTATAAGGGAGGAGTATAAGGGAAGGAATGAGGAAGATGATGAATATAGAGAAAGAGAAGGTGAGGGGAGAAGAGAAGAGGAAGGTGAAGGAGAGATAAAGAGAAAAGGGGAACAGACAAGAAGAGAGGTAATAGAAGGGGAATATGAGGGGAAATGATAACCTAACCTAATGTATTTAGTTTATGCGTCAGGCTTATGTCCCGTATTGAGTGTGTGTGTGTGTGTGTGTGTGTGTGTGTGTGTGTGTGTGTGTGTGTGTGTGTGTGTGACCACATCCCCAGCCTCCTCACCCAGCACCTGGTTGGCACCACCGGAAGGGAGGGTGAGAGAGGGAGGAGGGGTGAGGGAGGGAGGGAGGGTGAGGGAGGGAAGGAGGGAGAGATGAGGGAAGGGGGAGGTGGGGGGTGTTGGTACTACGTCAAGGTCACCACCCCACATTACTTAATCGTCTCCCTATCTTCCTCCCTTTCTCCCTATACTCCCCCTCCCCCTCTTTAATCCCCCTTCACCCTTTCCTTCTTATTATCCCCCCCTTTTCCTCCACACTTATTGTACCTTCCTTACCTACGCCCTACTCAAAACACACACACACACACACACACACACACACACACACCAATCTGTGTTTTTTTAGCTGAGGTAAAGTCGGCCTGTGAGACTCTCCATGTGGTGAGATAAGAGAGACGGAGAGGGAGAGGTAGAGGGAGAGGTAGAGGGAGGAGGAAGGAAGAGGGAGAGGAAGAGGGAGAGAGGAAGTAGAAACAGGTTGAATGAAACAAGTTTTTTTAAAGTAATTCCCTTGTTTGGTTATTGGATACTAGGGCGGGGAAAGTTTGCTGGTGAAAGTTTGGAAAGTTTGGTAAATATTGATGTAGTTTATTGGTCAAAGTTTGGTAAATACTGATGTAGTTTATTGGTCAAAGTTTGGTAAATATTGATGTAGATTATTGGTCAAAGTTTGGTTAATATTGGTATGTTAAAACCTCGTAAAGAAAGTACAAATCCATGGGAAAAGAAAGTCTGTAGAAAATTCACTCATGAGGAGAAAGTTACTCGTAATATTCATTGAAATCTGTGGAGAAAGTAACTGGTTTTAGATAAATTTATGAATGAGTCGAAGTCGTAAGAGAAAGTACACTAATAACCAGAAATAAAGTGTAACAAAAAACAGAGAGAAAGTATCTAAAAAGTAGCTAGACTGTGTGTTAGAAATAGAAATAGAAACTACCCTAGACAACTATTGAAAAGAAAGTAATTTAAAAACCAGAAAGAAAGTGGAGAGAAAACCCATAAAGGTGTTAAATTTAGAAAGCTTTTAAAGGAAAGTAACTCGTGATGTTTGATAAAAAATTAACATATAATTCAAACTAAATAAAGAGAAAGCGGAGTAGAGGTTTGAAAGAAAGTACATTAGAGAAAAAAGTCTATAAGACTCGGAAGAAAACAAACTAAAAACATTGGAAAGAAAGCAAATAAAAGGCTGAAAAGAAAGTACGGAGGAAAATCATTGAAAAAGAAAGTACATGCAATGTGATGTAGAAAGTATAGAGAAAATTATGTCACAAAAATAAGTATTTAAAAGGACAAGTAATGAATTAGTACTTTCGATGATCAGCACAAAAAAGAAAGTAAAAGAAAGTAATTATCCATATTTTTTTAGAACTCCCTGAAGAAAGTTTTTATGGCGTTCAAGACCGTTACAGTAGAAATCTCTGAGGACTGAATAACCTGA